TTCAAAGAACTCAAAGATCTTTACTAATATAGTTATAGACATTTTTATCCATTGTTGTTCTTTTCTCTAAATCTCTGTCTGGCAGGCACAGTAGCACAAGCCTTACTCAGTAGGCTGAGGCAGACAGATCACAAGTTTGAGGCTAGCCTGGGCAACTTAGATCCTGTCTAAAAAATTAAAATTAAAAAGACATGGGAATGTAGCTCAGTAGCAGAGTGCTTGCCTAGTATGGCTGAAGCCGTGGGTCTAATCCCCTAAACCTTCTGTTCCCTACTTTCATGATTTCATTGACCACCCCTGTGCACATCTCTAGTTTTACATGCTTAGTGCACTAACACCTTTTGGCACCTCAAATGTAGCATGTTAGAAACTTTTTACAAGCATGTTCTTTAACTCTTAGAGGTTGTTTCTGCATTGAGGTACAAAGGCTCAGAGCCCTCAACCATCACTGCCAACTCTTTCCCTTTTAACTAACTACCAAGTTTTATTTCTCCTTATCTTTTGTTTTTACCTCCTTTCTATCCTGTTACTCCACTTATTCTGATGTGGCTGGGTCACTGCTCTAACCTCCTATACTGGATTAATGGTTCCAGCTTTTCTAATGCAAATCCTTTATGCATAGCCTTATAGATTAATTACTCCAAAGCATAGAACTGATGTTTTCTGGTCACAAACTTTCAGTAATGCTGATTTTCCAACGCAACAGGTTTTGTCAGATAGGCATTAAAGCTCTCTGTTTTGCTCTAAACTACCATTTTTGGGTCTTTCACCCTTTATCATTCATTCTTTACAAATATATCCTCCAGCCAAATTGAATAAGTCATTATCTTTTTTGTGTGCTCACTAAATCTATTTTTGCTTAATTTTTTCTTTCTACATAGATTCTAGGTCATTTCAGCATGTCCAAAAATCTTAATCCACCCTTTGCTTTCCTTTCAAATGAGCCATCTTTCCTCCTCTGGAACAACTGGAGCTATAATCATTTTTTTTTTTTAAATGGCACTTAGCATTTCTCAGCATGCACTGCAGTCACTTATGTGAATCACCTTGATAATGAGAACCTTTAAGAGAGGCTCCACTTACACTGTATTTTTGAAATGAAGCCTCCCTATGGTTTCCTAGGCTGGCCTTCCACTCTTAGGCTCAAGCCACCCTCAGTCTCTGTGCAGCTGGGGCTATAGGCATGCATCACCATGCCTAGCAACATTTTATATCTACATCCATTCCTAGCACACACAACTTTGTTATGTTATACACTCAAAATATTTGAGTGCATGCATAAATGGTGAAGTTAGGGAAAATATGTTGGTAATTTGCTAGAGTAATTCAATTGATACTTCTTTGGAGATTCTGGAGTTCAATTCAAATCCAGCAAAGAACCTCAGAATTCTTCTCTAGAGCTTCACATTGTAACCTATTCATCATTAAAAGCCATAAACATTATAGGCTTTATTAATAAAAGTAAAATACCAAGACCCAGAGAGTAGTTCTACTGTACTCTAAATTGCCCAGACAATGATGGGCACATTTTAAGACACTGACATGGAAGCAGATATCCAGAAGATCCAGAAGGAAACTAAAACTAGATGTTTGGAAATAACATCTAGCCAAGATTTGTGTGTGTGTGGTACTGGGAATTGAACCCAGGGGGCTCTGCCACTGAGCCACTCCTCAGCACTTTTTATTTATAGGCAAGGTCTTGCTAAGTTTTCTGGGCAGGTCTCAAATTTGAGAGCCTCCTACCTCAGCCAAATTCACTGGGATTACATGTATGCACCATAACTCCCAGCTCATCTAGCACATTTATAAAAAAAAAAAAAAAAAAGCAAGTACTATGAGCTATGCACTATTCCAAAAGTAAATCTCTGCCCTTAGGGAGTTTATAGTTAGTTCAATGGCTGCAGGCAAGGACACACAAATATTGTATGCCATATGGATACAAAACACCTGTATACAATGTATAATGGAGAAAAATAAAGCAGGGGAAAAAAACATTTTAGAGGGAATTCAGAGACTTCTTTAAAGTAGGTTTGAGCAGAGAATGAGGGAAATGGAAGTTTCCAGATGGAGGAAATAAGTGCAAAGGCCTTGGAATGGGTGCAACCTTAGTATTGGAATAAGAGCACAGATGAGTGGCAGAAATGTGTACTAGGGACTGCACATCACAGACTTCAACTTTTACTCCTACATGGGATGTCTTTGGAGAGTTTTTGTCAGATGAGTGCAGATGCAGGGGAATGAATTAGCTATTACAATAAAGAATGGAAATTTTGTGTATTTAATGGTGGCTTTTGTCCACAAGTATAACAGAAGAGCTGAGGGACAACTGAATTCTAAGTTTGCAAGGTAAATCTGTCTGGATTTGATGCAGATTGGAACTGGGTGGGAAGAGGAGTCAAGAAACAGCTAAGCAACTGGATGGATTTTATTGAAATGGTTAGAGAAAATTAAACTGGAAGAGGAAGAAAGATATGCTTTGGAGATCTAGATACTTTAAGTGGGAGCGGATAGTTGGAAGAGACAGGGCTGAAGACTGTAAGGAAGACAATTCTTAAAAGCCATTTCAAAACAGATGATCACAATTCTAGAAATAAACGTCATTTCAAAACAGATGGTCACAGGCTTCTCGTCACCATCGCAAGTAACCAATACTAAGAATCATGTTTATCTGTTACAACACAAAATATCCTTAATACAACATAATGTAAAACCCCTATTATCAAATATCTTACTTTCCGTTATTTCTAAACATCACATGCCTGTAATCCCAGTGGCTCAGGAGGCTGAGACAGGAGGATCTAGAGTTAAAAGCTAGCCTAGGCAAAAGCAGGGCACTAGTAGGCAACTCTGTGAGACCCCATCTCTAATAAAATACAAAGAATAGGGCTGGGGATGTAGCTCAGTGGTCGAGTGCCCCTGAATTCAATCCTGGGTACTAAAAGGAAAAAAAAAGTCTTCAATTTAAATTCAAATCTGAAAGTCTACTCCCCAACTTGTCATTAGAATAAAGTTGTCTCATTCCAATGCTGAGGACAGACCAAGTACTGAAAACATTAATGAATAATAGATGTTTATACTTACAAGGTTTTTGGGTAATGCCAAACTGGCTCCTAAGAATAAAGTGCAAATTCACATTCCATTCACTAAGAAAATGACAGGACTCATTTCCCCATAACTTTGCCAACATCAAGATTTGTTTTTAATTTAAGGATGGGTGATAACCAGCATCTTTTTATTTTTTAAGTACTAACTAAAGGGGTTAGGTTTTTCATACTTTATTGGCCACTTGTTCTTCCTTTGTGAATCCCATTAGATTTTTTTGTTTTTTAAGTGCTAGAGATTGAACCCAGGACTCTTACCACTGAACTACACCCCACCTCCTGCCCTTTTTTTTTTTTTGCTTATTTTTCAGTTAGTTGGCCTTATCAGATGAAACAAGTTCATAGGCATTAAAATGCTATTATACATTGTAAATATTTTCCGTTACCTTCTGCCATATAATTTTTTTTACACATTGCTGATTTCCTACACTAAATCACAATTTCATTCCCTCAATATGCCCAAATACCAAATTAAAAAAAAAAAATTCCCCAAACATCCTATTTTTAAGAATGACATTCATGAAGGAGTAATAGGCACATGTAGTTATATGCTATTATAGTTTGCGGTGTCTTTCTGAAGAGGGTATCTTCTCTAATTCAGACTGGCTGTAAGAGTTCAACTTTGAATTTAGGCATAGAAGAATTGTTAACCGTTGAAGGAGTAAATATGTATGTGAACTGCATAAGCAGAGGTAGGAAACCAAAACCATAGGGAACAGTGAACAATCCAGTTTGGGTTGAAAACTGTTGTAAGGAAATAATATTTGTAGGACTAAACCACTAAACTGTTTTCTAAACACCTTCCCTGTCACTATGTGACCTATAGCTGGCTTCCCTGTGGTGTTAAAAGCTTACCCAACCTGTTATAATTCCAGGAAAATAAAGCAGAAGCTGCATGAAAGGCAATTTTCATTTTTACTACTCTTTCAACACTTAATGCTTTCCTACTTTGGGTTACACAATCTAAATAAGTAAATGGGTTGACTAATGTTCTATAATCTGAGGCATATCCTACAATTTTTAGTTTTCTCATTTGATTAGAGGACACAGGATTTCTAAAGTCTTTTTAAGTCAAGACTTCAAGAAATCAGATTTCAGTAAGTATCTAGTCTTATTTTGATTACAGATAAAATATTCTTAAGTTACCTTGTGCCCTAAACATGGAGAACTTGTTATGAAGTTTGTGGCACATACACCTCTAAGATTCTAATATCATATTATTTAATATGCTGTGGGTCATACTTGCACAATAAGCTAAAGATGACACACTGACACTTTTCTTCTCAATACACAGAAAATTTAAAATATGACCTAAGGGTTCAGTTTTTCCCCCTAAGTTCAATCACATTTAAGACAGTATGAACTGCAAACTTGTGAATAAACTATGTTTTAGGTTCTAACTTAAATTTTAGTTATTTAAGTTCCAATAATGTAGAGACTCCAGGCTTATAAGTTAAGTATTGCAAAGTTAGTGAAGAATGACTATTTGGGTAAAAAAAAAAAAAAAAAAAAAAAAAGTAAATATAATTTGAAAATGTGTAAAGCCTTGTATGTTCTTCAAAGTTATTAGGGAAGAAAATAAAGTATACATTTAGTTAATCTTAGTTTAATAGACTACTGTTATTTGGATTAAAAAAATAATTACACTGATGTTAAAAATTTCAAACTCAAAATATTTTTCATTGTTGAGGTAGTTTCTATTTGAAACATCAACAGCAAAAATAATGCATGAATTCTATTTACACATGTAATATAGTCCTTCCTTGAGTGAATTATAAGTAGACAAAACTAGAGAATATATCTTTTTTATATCTAATCCAATTGACTTGAATATTCATTTCCATCTTTCAACATATATACACATTTCTCATAATTTTGTACAATTTAACTTGTCAATAATTTTCCACTGCTATTAGCCATATTCATTTATTATAAAGGGTCATTGGTATAAGGGAAATCAAGAATTCACATTCTTAGGCAAAAAATGAGAACTGAATAGCAATTTCTTCACTGTAAAGTGAATTGTTATTTAGCATATCCTCATGCTAATATGTGGCTGAACCCTAGCCATAAAGTGCACTCTGGGATTTAAAGGATGTAAGTGTAGCTCAAATACTTTCATAAAAATCACATCCTTCCTACCATATTATCTTTGAAAACAAACACTTGAAATTATAGTACATGTCACAAAACCTGTTTGAACATTCTATTCCATTTATGGAATGGCTTTAAATATTATGCATGATAAATAAAGTACAAAAGAAAAAAAAGTTAAATCTCACTTCAAGCAATGAGCACTCTAACCACACCAGTAAAAATGGTACTCTTTTAGTCAAGGCATGACATACACATAAAATTTGAGGCTATTTTACAATTATTCTTTGAATACTTTCAATCTGAATATAATATGAAGTACACAATGATTTTAGGTTTACTCAGCAAGTTCTTTGGACATTGTTTAAATAAGTGATATTTAAATAAGCAGCACAACACTGGAACTCAATCTTAAATGATAGTACCAAAAAAAAAAAAAAATCCTATAAAACTCATTTGTCTAGAATTTGTAAAATTGTTTCTGTTTCCAAGCATAATTAAATTGTGATTATTTTCTCAAAGTCTTCCAGTTTATCAACATACTTGCTTTCTTGGCTACATATTGGCCAGAAATTAACAAGAAAAGTCTTATTTCCATTCACCTGGCAAAGATGTAGAACCGGATTAACCAAACCCTTTTTATCAGCTGGACTGCCCTCTAATGGACTATGTAAGGTATTCAGCTAAGAGGTCAATGCGACTTGGTTTGACAAGGTAATTCAACAGAAAAAATATAAACCTCTTATACCCCTGACGTTTCCTTGAATGAGTTAAAAAGAAATGGAAAAACCTATTAGTAAATTAATTTTTACCATGAAAGAAATCAGCAGAGTACTAGTTCTATAAGTAAACAATTTCAATCATTTTGAAAACAGGTAATGAAAGTTCATGTAGTTTCAATCTTCTCAATCTTGGAGGCAGATCTGAAACAATGGTAGTAGGCAGGAGTAACAGGCATACTGTGATGTCAATCTTTTATGAAGACTTGTGTAATAACACAAATCATATTTTTGTTAGTCTATTCACTCTACAGAGGTTTTCTTATGTATGAATATGAGTTACAGTAGACACATGCTGAGTAGTTGATATCTGTTAAGTCTCGTCACAGCATAAGAACTTTATGGAGCTTTTTCCTCTGTGAAAACATCATCTTGAGTAGCAAGCTGTTTTTCTCTGTGGCTCATCCCCAGGCCTGAGATTTGCAGTAATGTAGGACCAGTTTACCATCACTGCCAAAACACTACAAAAAGAAAAACCGCAACAAATTAAACTCCATTTTTGTTACTGTTAAATAAAACTAAGAAAAAGTCATATGTATCACAAATATCCATAGATGTTCATGTTAGTTACCTATGTCATAAGGTAACTTTCTTTTAAAAACATGACTGTTTTTTTACCAGACATGTAACCAATAATCATAAATGTTTCACAAAAATCCATCAGTTAAGCAAATTGGGTATGAATGGGCTTATATATTTTAATCTTGCTCTGATGATCAAGTACGTATTTTTAGATGTTCTCTACTAGTGCTTGTAAGTACACTCTAATAATTATCGCCATAGAACTGCAAGAATGTTGAGTCAAGTGGTTCTTATGTAGGTTTTTCAATTTCTTGGAGGCAGATTTGGATTACAGATCACATGAACAATGTAGAGAGACTGGATATAACTTCTAAAAATATAAAAGGATTATTTTGACATACAATTAATTTCTTGATCCTTCAATCACTGTATAAGTTATTAAAGTCCTACTACATTCAAGGTATGAAACAAGAGAAACAAGAGAGCGAGAATGTCATCTCATCTTTTTTTCCCCACACAGACAATTAAGAATGGCATGCCAATTCTTTTGTTTTTGGTACTGAGGATTGAAGCGAGGGGTGCTTTACCATTGAACTACATTCTCAGTATATCAGTATTTTTTAAATTTTGAGGTAGGTTCTTGCTAAGTTGCTGTGCCTGGCCTTGAACTTATGATCCTCCTGCCTCAGCCTGCCAAGTCACTGGGATTAAAGGAAGGTGCCAATGTGCTTGGCATGCCAATTCTTAAAGATATGAATGATTCATGCTATACACTATTATATGCATATTACGCACATGTGCATACTCCATTAAGATTAAAAAAAAAAAAAAAAAGTAACTTTTTACCTCATAGAGGGTCCCGACTTCCTGGTCTGGGGAAGGAGCAAAGGACTGATTCACATAAATAAACTATAAGAAAGAAAAGAAGAAAATACAGATTCATTTTTAATGGTACACTGATTAACCTGTATTTTTTTTTGGTTCAAATCAAGCTATTTTAAGCTGTCTTTAGATTGAACAAAGCTCCCCTAAATAATTAATTCATCCATTTAAAGAGAACTTTATGAAAATTATCTTTCTTCCAGAAGAATAACAGAATTTTTGCTCCTATAAAGGAGTTTCCAGCTTTTAGTAATTAAAAACTTGTAAATCATTTTTATAAATAGTTTGTTCAGGCTTTCCAAGAAATCAGTATTACAAAAAATTCTACACTTGCACCTAACCATAAAGACAAAATTTCTTCTAAAAAATTCGCACACAGCCCCAAATCAATAAATCTAATATTCAAGATAGTCTATGCATGCATTTTTCTTGGTTAAATGTATGACATTCATGGTTAAGGCTTTTTTTTTTTTTTTTAAATGTTTATTACCTTTAAAAAAAAAAACTTTCAAAGGTACGAAACTACTTCAGGCTGGTTGTTACCATAAAGTCATTTCCAGGCAAAAGAAGGGGGCTAGGCAATATAATTAAAACCCAAGGCCCTTACAATCCTGTTCTTTAAAGAATTTGTTATTCAATGTTTCAGTGTTTTTTAAACAGTATCATTTCAGATGTTATTTTGATCACTAACTATAACATGAATAAATTTTGCTAACATTTTCTCCTTAGGTATGTCATTAAGTGTGGTAATTAAAGTTTACAGTCTCTAGACAGACCTGCCCAAAATAAAAACCAGTGGCATTAAAAATATTAACCCTTCCTAGAAGTGAGTAAGGTATACTACAACATAAGTTTAAATGTAAATTTCTTAGTTCTTTCATAGCACATGTCAGACATATTGCTTACCTTTAGAAGAATGGGACAAAAGCAACACTGGAATCAAAACAATGTTCTTTTCAGATTAAAAAATTAGTTGACAATGTAAAGCAAATCTCAAATTCATCTTATTTCAGAGTTCCCAAAGAATCCTTCAATAAAGTATATAAATTCCAACAAAAAAGACAGAAAAGGGATAACAAAGTAAAATGTAGCTCCATGTGTACTTCTATATACTTATTCACTGATGCCTAGGAACTATGGTACACTTCTAAGGAAAAATAATCACTATTAGTCTCATACCAACTGTTCCGAGGCCACAAGTTTAAGGAACTTCTTGATGAAGTCAATGAGTCCTTGGATGGTTCGGGTTCGCTCTACAGCCCACTTCTTTGTTTTCATTATAGGGGTGTCTCCCACAGCCTTCAGTAGGATGTCAACTGTAAAAGAAAAGAAACAGAAATGGCCCATAAAGATGTGTAACAGCAGCAAAGTTTAATCTCACATTTTGTTTTTTACTTACCAAACTACAAAGATTAGAGTATTTGTGTGGCTACTACTGTTGAGAATAAAAAATGGTATCCCCTTTCTGGAAAGCAACTTGGTAATACATATCCAATACTTGGAGACATACTTTTGACTCAGTAATACTTCTAGGAATATAATTCAAGAAAATATGTGATGTGCAAAGACTCATTTAGAAGAATTTCCCCTTCACTAAAGCATCTTTAAGGAAAAATACTGGTAAAACCAAGTATCCAACATGGATATTTAAAAGATACTGATTAAATAAAAGATGCTATACTCTCTTAGCTCTGTCACTTGCTAGGTATATACACATGGAAAACTTTTTAATCTCCCTTGGCATTAGAATCACGAGGCACTCACAGCTTTGTAGGTTCAAACAGCAATTCTTTATTCCAGCTCTCACACCACCTCCACACAGGTCCAGGGGCAATGGCGTTCTGCCATCTACCCGCACAATTCACCTACCCACCAGGCTCTCTCCAAATCCCATTTTAATCTCACGAGAACTCAACGGGAACAAGCA